TTTTCTACCAATTTTTCTCTTGTTATTTTCTTCAGCAGTTAATGGAAAGCGAGGACAAGTGGCGATCATTTAAAAATGATCTTTCAGGCCTCTCCATGGGTTTATTGCCAGGACCTATTTAGAGGACCATAAAGCTGTAAGGGGCCTATAACTTTAGCATGTAGTCCACAAGCTTCTTAAGAAAATGAAGAGCCTTTCCATTCACATCCTGCTTCTTTTGCCATCTCTCCCTCTCCATACAAACACACCCACACACGTGTGCAGGGACTGCTGGAGCAGCTAATTGAATCCACTCCTGTGAAAGTGTTTACAAATTGTAAGTGACCTTTTATACAAATTTCAAAGTCAAGAATTCACCACTAACTGCACATCCCTCTTCTGCCATTCACTGTTATGCAAAACCTACAAACAATTAAAAGAAATAACGAAGAGCCCAGCGGCCCTCTTTCCTAATTAGCTGCAGGAGGCAATGCTGGGGAGTGTGGCTAAGTGCTTCAATTACCTCAGCCCTCCTCACTGCCCTTGTTAGAAGAGACAGGTCCACCGGCCAAAGGGGAACAATTAAGGCAAGGCAGAGCCAGGCAGTTTGCAGGGGGATGCCGGGGCCATACCAGCTCTCGCACAAGGGCCAGAGCTGTAATTTTCCTGCTGGGCTACACTGAGACAAATTAATGCTAGATAGATGGCTAGCTCCAGCCCATCAGTAACGAGGGAGGAAGGGAGATGATATAGCAGTACAAGGGAGCTGTAATCAGAGTTTTCCTCTGCTATCAGCCCCCTTTCAGGGCAGAGGGACCCGAGCATTAATGCCTTTCTGCTGCCTGCATTGGCGCTACCCCAAGGCCTCGAGCAGAATCACAGCCCCAGCCTGTGCTTTATTTGCTGAAGATAATATGCGCTGGCTGCACTGAGGAGCCCCACACTCCAGAAATGCTGGACATCAAACTGGTTCCGAGTAAGAAACCAACCTGAGCTGGTGGGAGAGCCGGTTTAGCTGACCTAGCCACAAGCTACGGGAAGAACTCTCTATGGACACTACTACAACAGGACAAATCCTTCCCATCTTGAAGTACACAAGAAAGGAATACAAAGGTGGTGCGCTCAAAGACCCCAGATCCTAGCTATGCTGCAAACACAGATCATCTTAGGAGGAAGGACACCAGCAAGGAGTAAGCCCCCTTGAAACCTCATTAACCTTTCAAGAAAGGGTTAAAGTTTCAGGGTAGGCAGTGGTGTTGCCACAGTTTTAATATCCCAACTTTAAAAAAATTCAATTATGATTTATCTGTTGCATGAGCACCCATGCAGGGTCAGATTCTGCTGCTATTGAAATTAAAGCAGTGTTTTCAGTACAGCTCCACTCCTGCCAGAGCCTGTCCTGACCAGCAGCAGAAGAGGGCAGCAGGAGCCGTCTGCCCTGGCTGGAGACTTCCCTGAAAAATCCAGGGGCTGAAGTTCGCACTAAAATATTTACAAGCCCCTATGCTTTTGAATAATACAAGAAAAAGGCAATCACAAGTCAAGTTTTTACCCTTTTATAACAGAACTTTGCAATCAAATTGATTGCACCTTTTAAACTGGTATAAACCTCCTTCCTGAGCAAAGTCCTTTGTATCCACTTTTGCCAAGTACCTTTTTTTTCCAGTTGATACATAAACCTTTGAAAATAAGTTTGAGATGAGACTGACAACCTTGAAACCTCAAGAGCAGCATGGCATTGACGGGTGCCGCTCCCTGAGCCGAGTATTATAGCTAGATTTTAATTTCATTTTAACAAAATAGCTGTCTCCAGTGGAAGAAGCATCAAGAGCTAAATGAGGACCCGTCTTGAGCTGAATCACGTTGAACAGACCTCGGCACTGTCATTGATTTTCTGGGAAGAAAAAAACCGCCTCTGGCTACTAAACCAAATTAGTACTCACTGATGACCAATTATTTTGCCCCACTGTGAACGGAGAGGCGTACTAAAATTCCAGTTTGTCAGACCCAAGGCTCTCTTCTCAAACACCTTTCAACAAGCGTGTACCAAAAGTCCCTCAGATGGTTCTGACGCCTTCCTGTTTTCGGCAACTTCTCCTTCTCCAAAGTTTTAATGAGCTGCTGCTCTGAGGACGGCCTGCCAGAAAGGGAGCCATTCCCAGGCCTTTCGAGCACTATTTGGCATGGCACAAATCACAGCTGTCAGAATTTATACACACATACACAAAAAAGTGTCAGCCTAATGTTTGCAAATTATAATTACCATTTCTCTTGCATGTCCCTGGTGCCTTCATTTTAGATAAATCCCAGCTCTGAGGTATCAGCTGCAAAGCACTGAAGGCTCATATTGAATAGAGTAGATTTAACTAGTTTGTAGCTCATTTAAGGCCTACACTGTTTTATTTTAATATTGTTAATACTTTATTATACTTTTTAACATTGTTTTCACAGTAAAATAGCCTATTAGGAGGCTGCAGCTTCTTTTCCAAGAGATCTCTGGCAGACTAGCATACCACATTGTATAACCAAGCTAGCAGACGCTTGTCACTTCTGTTGAAAATAGGTCTGTACCCTGACTCTTGAAAGTAAATTGGAGAGAGAGTCTATTAAAGAGACAGGAACTGTTTCAGAGATAATAGTTTTGAAAATGTGCACAGATAAATTTTAAAATATTTAGGAAATGTCAACATTAGAAGTGGCTCCAACTATTTGACTATAAAAGGAAGCAGCTGATTATTTTTTTCCACAATTATAAATAATTTGTTACATCCTATCAGAACTTCTTTCCCTTTCCTTTCTGTGGCAGGGTGCTTGTGCCAAAACAAGGAGATCTGAGTTACTCTGAACGAGATGGATTTCAGTCTGCAATAAGCGTTTTCAGTGGATGCTTCCCCCGCTCTCCCCACAGCATCCGCAGACGATAACAGCAAAATCCTCCCAGTTCAGAGGAGTGACACCTGGGCAGGGTGACAAAAGGAAACAGAACACACAGGCCATTCATTCCTGTCCTTAAGTAACACTAAGGCAAAAGGACATTTTCCCCAAAGGCCAGCTGCAAATGGGAAATACTGTCACACTGCCAAGTGGCACTGATACCGGGGCCAAAATTCCCCATCCACTCCAATGAGATCATCATTTGACCTACAAAGAATAAGCCACCTCTCTGAAATTTCTCTGGTAACCGTAGTCAAAGAAGTGCATTACCTGATATCCCCCACTCTTCCTCACTTCCTCAGTATTTCTCTCAGAGGAGGCAGGAAAATCCAGGCAAAGCCTCATGTCCTGTAGCCTCCCCAGAGCTTACGTGTAGAACTAAGCACACGAGTCACAACCACAGATTTCAAAGAGGCAGTCCATGCGTGTTATTCCAGGCATAATTCTATACTTTGCTGGATCAGGACTTAAATGCGATTAATCACACGGCAGGGAAGGATCTCTGAAGAGCATCAACACAAATGTGTCCTTTCAAGCATTTACTTACAAGCCAGCTGTGGACTAATCAGTCACCAACTGGCTGGTCCACTGGAGATGGTAAAAGTCACCTCCATAGAGATGGGAAAACACATTCAGCTACCACAAAAATCAATAATCAAATACCATGCACAAAGGCTCAGTGTATTCCTGCATCCCTCCCTGCTATTTCTGTGCACCAGGAAAGCTCCTTTGGAGAGGAAAGGGGCAGGCCAAGGAAACAAGCCCATGTGCAAGGCTCGCCACATGCTTCTGCCAGGACTACCAAAATTTACAACAATTGTGATTTGGACACCCATCCAAACAATAAGACACTCAACCACAGGTTTACCACATCTTTTATAATTTCTAAATATTTTGCCTAGCTCTCATCAGTATGAAGTGCCAAATTGGAAGGGGAAGAGCAGGGCGAAGAGGGGAAGACAAAGGGTAAATGTCAGTGTCCCCTTTGACACAGGGTGTCTCCAGATAATGGTCTGGAGTAGCACAGCTGATTTGTAAGCAGAGCCTTGAAAAGCCCTGCAGCATGTGATCTATGAAACAGGAGGTCTGCAGAAGGATGTCTCCTCTGATATGAATGCCCCCTTGGGATGTATATTGCTGGATCGCACATCTAGTATCATTAGAAAACACGACCATAGATTAGGCTGTTTTGAAGCATGTGGTGTGCAATAATTAAGTAATAAAAGTCACCGCAGGGGTGAAAGAACAAGAAACAGAAGAGTTACTATTTGCATACGTGCTGCTGGCACTCTCCGTGATCAAAGATTCTCCAGACTGCTAAAAGCTGGCTGCTACCAATTTTGGACCTACTCCTGCCAAAAGCCATGAAACACCAGCTCACTCTGTGGCCCATGGGCTCTCCTAGCAGAAAACCACCTTCTGGTGAAGCTGGTGGCCCAGAAGCAGCCCAGCCATTAGCCTGAGTCCCCAGCTATTGGTCCAGACAGGCAGGGAAAGCATTGCCTTTCTGTTATGGGAGCTGCAGCTGAAGGCACTGTGGGCTACAGGTGGGAGCAAAGCTGAGGCTGACAACTCCACACTGCTATAGGTTGCTACTGAGATGAGAGAAGTCCCTCCCCAGCAAGGTCTGCAAGGACAAGGACCAATAAAACTGAAGATCAGTGTTGTCCATCACCTTCAATTGTTTGCTTCTGGGGAAAATGAAGAGCAGCACAACCACAGCAGTAAGTAATGTGCTGTCCTCGAGGCAAGAACCCCACTGCTGCCACTGTCAGATCTGCCTCCTATGGCAGCTGATGAAGTTGAAGCATCCTCACTTGCAAGGAGCAAGGCTCAACAGTTTCAGGATGCAGCTCTGCCACAAGCTGGTTAGGTTAATGCCAGCTCAGACCAGCTAAACAAAACACTGGCCAACAAGTAACTGCCTTGTATTTTTACTGTTTTTCTAGAACCATGGTGTCATGTAAAGGTTTATTCATGTTCTCACCAGTAACATTTTCCAGGAGCAGAGACGGGTGTCAGCATGGGGAGGTAAAGAGAGGCATTAACCCTGGAGATTATATTGTTGTCTTTTCTATGTTTTCCAGGCCTTCCACTCCCATGTTTGACCTCCTTCAACACAGATACAAGGAGCTGTGGATGGAGCAGCAGAGAGCACTGACAGTAGCATTGCGAGAGAACATGAAAAAGGTGATAATACTCCAGCAGTACTTTCCCTTGCTGTGCACCACTACCAGACATAACTCCATGCTGTCCCAGTCCACAGTGGATGGGCCTTCACCCAGCCATGGGGAGGGCACTCAGCTGGGAAATCATCCTTCCCAACTATGGCAAGGCTGGTGAAGCCTAACAAAGATCATCTGCTTCCCAGCCCAGATGAGCCTGGCTCCAGCCAGTGCATGTCCTGTGGGGTGCTGCTGTGGGAACGAACACTAGGTATGCAAAATGCAATATGTGTGCCTGAAAGTGCTCTGGAGACACAAGGGAAGCTTTTTTTAAAAAGTACTTTGAACCTGAAGATACATGCAGGAGCTGAGCAAGCTCTCCAGGGCAGTGGGACTTTGGCCAAGGCCTTTCAAAAGGCTTAGACACCTGTCCTAGACACCTTTCTGGCCATCATTAAGTATCTGTCTGCATCAATACACCTCTAGTCACAGGATCACAGAATCACAGAATATTAGGAGCTGGAAGGGACCTCAGCGCCCAGTAGTTTCACAAGGTGCCCTGTGAAACTCCTGGTATCAATTAAAAAGGGGGCTCTGCTTTTTCTCTGCATCACCACAATACTAAAAGGCCCTGCTGTAACAAATAATTGGGTTTCAAGTTATCTTTGGGATTTGTGTCATGCTCATGCCAGGAGCCCTGCAGACTGTCCTTTGGACAGCATTGGTTCTGCTCAGGTTAGCTGTGACAGTGACCAAGACAACAGTACAGCCAGTGATTGTTCAAAGGACCATCACCAGCCCCAGTCTTGGCATGGAGAGGTTGATGCCAGCACCCGCAGTAGATGTTAGAGTGCAACTCTGTGCTGTTAAACATACCAATATTGTAATAACATTTAAAAGCAGCCAATGACTGTTTTATTAGTTAATGGCTCAAAGAAGAGTCGAGCTAATATGGTAATAACCAATTTCAATGGGCTTACTGCCATCACAAACTATGCTTTATAGCTGAAGTGCGAGAATACAGTGTTCTTAATTAGCAGCTCCTTTATGAATACACAAGCCTAAGATGTTGGAAAGTGCATCCCCACCTTATCTATTAATGACTGATTTTTTTAATCACCAAGTTCTTTCCATCAAGTTCCCAAAGCCTGCAGCCACCAATTACTGAATTAAGCAACACAAGTCTGCATTCCAGACCTCAGAGCAGGCAGATTCCCCAGTGTTTCACACAGTGGCCAAAACATTCACCAGGTGCCTGCACCAGTTTGTGCTGGGAATATCAAGCACTGCAAGCTGCAATTAATCAGGAGAGCAACATACACCAGACAGCCAAGAAACCTCCCCATGGTGAGGGTGTGGAAGTGATGAGCTAGCGATGAGCCATTGCTCTAGCTCAGAGCACAGGGCTTCCTGCAGGCTGCGGTCAACTCACTGGGATGCCACATAAAGCAGACACTCTGAAAGCTGGCAGCTGCTCATGTTTTCCTCATCAGTGTCTTAGGTATCAATATTAGCTGCATGGACATGAAAAACTACCCAGATCAGGCACTGGTGATCATCAGTCCAAAGTGACTTTTAGTCCTGTTCATCCCACTGGCAGTATGTTGCATGACACCAACCTGATGTACAGAGCTGTGCAACCATTTCAACCCATTCTTGTTTACCTTTGCCTACAGAAAAACAAAGTGCGTGAAAATCGGACCACACTTCTGCGAAAAAAACCACCACCTGCAAAGGAGGAGTCCTTCTGGCACCTGCCCCACTTCGAGAAGGTATGGAGCACTTGATTGAACTCAGGAACAACTTCTAACCCTGCCCATGTGCCCTGCTGACACCCTTAGCACAAAAGGAACGTAGAAACAAGGCTCTTCAGAGCTCATCAAGACCTAGACCCTAAAATGCTCCTATGCTGGATGTGTTCAATCATCAGCCTCTTTTGTACTTCAAGGTGGGATGTTTTTTGTAGCCATAAGCCCTGGAAGAAAGACAGCAGTTGCCCAGATAAGGGCTTCATGACTTATTTCCTAACTTCTTGTGTGCACTTTTACAAGTTTCACCAGATGAGAAGCATCTTTCTGTATCTCCCTGTTAGGACTGGGGTGGCCTTTGCTCTCTGCTGGTATTCCCACAAGTGCCCTACATTTTGGTAGCCTGCCATTTTCTCAGCTCTCACCATAACTAATTCAAACCACACCAGATGTTTTGAGAAGCATTTTCACACCAAGAATTAGAGATTTCCAGAAAGCTTGCACTCTTGATACCTCTCTAAACTACCTGACTGACAATATTCACCCTGAAACTGAGGAAGGGGCCCAGCCAGGTTACAGATGTGCATGACACTTCCTTTAATTGATACAAATAAAAGCCAAGGTGAGGATTTCTTGTTGCAGCAATGGGATCTAAACAACTCCCTGAATTAATCTGTGCATCCTTCTGTGCTCTGGGGTACTTGTTTGAATTCTGTTAGCTCTGTTTGTGGTGTAAATGACAGGGGAAGCTTCAAGTGAAGAGCTAGGGGGCATTTTAGGAAGGAAGGGAAAAGAGCTGGGCAAGGGGAATGGAAAGGAGACACCAGAAAGTCTGAAAGCACTGAAACCCTGCAGGGAGTTTACATAGCCAAAATAATATCTGGCATTGATAGATACCACTGCAAAGAGCCTCTCAGCCCTCCGCCCTAACACTTGTTCTGACAGGGTTATTTTTTTTTAGCTGTGCTGTTGATTTTTAACCGCAGTTTAAAACAAGAAATAAGCCTTTTGACTTCCTGAAGCTAATTTATTTGTACAACTTGGAGAGTTTCAACCAAGAAATGTGTTTTGCACCACCTTGATGTATTCCTGTTACGTCCTGTCTAAGACTGTCCGATTAGCATATGTCAGTAATCATTTATCCCCGCTACCTGTCAGCACAGAGCTGCTGCTGCGGCTAGTGTCAGGGAAAGAACATGACCGATCGCTGTTAAACAGATTGTGTAAGTCACACGAGATACTGGGGCAAGCCTCCTCTTTAGAGCTTCTCTCACCCCAGACCTTTCCATCACTATTCATTTTTCACAGCCTGCGTTTTTCTTCAGGCTTTTCCTTTTGTTTCATCCACAACTGTGGTTGGGTTCCTCCCCGAGCCACAGCTCTCAACCCTCTGAGTCTTTTCTTCATCTCTCTGCCTTTCTCCTTCCTCTCCCTCTTCCCTTCCCTCACAGGAACAGCATCCAGGGGAGGAGCAACAGCTCATTTTGCACAGCCTCTGCAGATTTTCTGTACTCCTCCCTTCTCATTACATTAACATGGAAGGTTTGCCTTTCCCCAGCTCCAGATCTATCAGACACAGCCCATGTTAGATCTTGGATCAGTTCATTGCTTAGTTGAGTTTCAGTGTATGGTTTCCTCCATGGAAAAGTAAGTACTCTTGAATGCCCATAAACGTTTATGCAGTTAAAGGCAGTAACAACCCAGGGAAAGTTGATGGTTCCCAAAGACACTCAGTAGCCTCCAAGCTGTGCTTCAGCCATCTCTGTAAAGTTGGGCTCTACATATGTGCTGGTGGAATGGTCTTGAAACACAAACTGGCCTAACCCTTCAACCAAGCCCAGGGACTCCAGCAGTCACTCCATCAATCCCTCCTTTACAAAGGTGAGAAGAGAGAGCAGTGCTTCAAGAGGTGAGGGAGCTTATTCTTGCAGTGTTTCTGTCCTCATGAAACCTTCCTCAGGCTCTTCCATACTTTATGGCTTTTTTAAGACTCAACAGCCTGGGATGGCAGCCATTAGCACTGACCACTGTAGGCAATTTATCAAAACACCAGCTTTAATTCATATAACGTCTTCATCCTACTGCACAAAAAACAGTGGAAAAAGCTACTGCTAAAATATCACTTTACAGAAAGCTTGTTAGCAGACTCATCTGCATATTATTTCAGCCTTCAGTGACATCGTCCTGCTCTGGCCATTATGCAAGATGTCCACGACCCAGGAACAACTTCCAACTCTGGACAAGAATATAGAGAGGCTCCATTGCGCTGACCACAGCTCCACTTTCGACTATTTTTCCATGTGACCAAGGCTGATGCAGGGGTGTGACATCCTCAAGCCACTCATCCCTCTTGTCACTCAGTCACTGCCTGTCATCTGGCACGATGCCTTTCAGCCTGGCCTGCTCTGGGCTTGGGGGAGCAATACAGAGCACCCAGCTACTGAGATGGTTGTAACTCAAAACAAGGGGCAGCAGGAAGATGAGATTTTGTTCCTTTAGACCTATAAAGTCAACAAGGAGGATTTTTCTATTCCTTTCCTTGTCGCTTGACAGGGAGCTACAGTAACTGGACATGGATGTCACTAATGGCTCTTAAACTGAACTTTCCATTCGGTTCCTGCAAGACTATCTGCTGGCACCATGCTAGACCTTGCAGAAATGGAAGAGAAAAAAACAAAGGAGCTTTGCCCTCCTTGCTAATTGCCTCTGCTTGTTCCCTGCATTGCCAGGACTGCATGACATTACATAGTCATTCAGTCAGTAAAGTACAGACAAATTGACTGAATTTTCATTTGGATTTAGGTTTCAGCCCCACTGCTTTAGAATAATGGCCCACGCTATTAAGCTAACCGGGTGATTTACAGGCTCTACCATGCCGGGTGATCGCTCCTGCTCTGCGTCTCGCTCTGGAGGACCAACCTGGCATGTGGTCTCCTGGGCCCTCCAGCCTGCAGAGACAAACAGGTCGCAGGGAGCCAGTCATGTCCTGACAAGCAGTTCATTAGGGAAAGTTGCTGAATTGGAGGGTTGGGTTTTTTTAATATAAAACAAACAGTAGTTAACTCCTTACTCACCTCAGCAAGATGCTTCTACTGCCCTCCTCTTCCTCAGTCTCCCCCTAAGGCAAACAGCCTCTCCCTTGCTCCATCTGCAGGGACATGGCTTCTGGGCTCAGGTTTTGCCAACATGGCTGCAACCATGCACCAAGACTTCATTTACTTGTAGGTGTGGGACTACATTCCCTGGGGACTGTACCTCAAGCACCCAGCACAGACAAATACTCCTGCCACCATATTTATTGAATACATCCCATCCCTACATCACACATCACTAGTATCATGCTGACCCAGGCAGAATGGCATTCTCCACATCAACCAAACTCTGGAAAGGATGTTGCTGCCGAAATACAGCATCCCCATAGCCCTGCCAGCACAAGCCCAGGGTGAGACTCCAGCTGCCTCCACCTGAATATTTGGTAGTCCAAACCAGTAAGTCAATGCTGGCCACTGCACAATAGATTTCCAAGGCTCTATCAAGTCAGTCCAGAAGGATTTTGGTAGCGAAACCCCACACAGCTGTGATGTAGGACAGAATTCACCCATGTGTCAAAATCGCTGTGTGCACCACGTGTCACTGACACACACCAGGGTTTTCCCTTTGCTCATTAGAGAATTCCAACTTGCAGAGACATAGAAGGTGGCTTTCCAGAGAGAATAGTCTTGTTTATTGACCAAACAGGGAGAGGAAAGGAAATGCAGCAACTTTGGACAACACTTTTGTCAACATGTGCTGCCTTCCCGAGCAGATGAAACGAGCTGTGCTCGATGCGCGATATGAATAAGCGATAAGCAATTGACGAGCAAGTGTTCGGGTACCTTGGCAAAAGACTTAATTTGCAACCTGGCACAAAATCAAAGGCTCTGTCAACGGCTGAGCGGCTCTCCTGCGTATGCCTTGCGTTACCTGGGAAAGCTCTGTCAGGTAAATTTCCACTGAAAGTAATTAGAGGAATCCCCACTGTATAAACTTTGCAGCAAAATTCTGGGCTCCAGAATTTGATTCTCACCAGGGATCTGATATCTGCTCACAGCCTGATCCTTCATCAGAATTAACAGTCAAGGTTTAACACATACACACAAAAATGTTCCACATTTTTTTTTAATGCCTTACCTCTATTTTTGTCTAAAGAGCTGAACTGACAAGCACAGCTCATGTAATTTTGCAACTGTTGTCTTGTCAGAAAAGCCACAGACTCTGCTTAAATAACCTGCGCTTGATATGCATAGCGCATGGTGGGCTGGCTTTTCAGCTGCAGCATTCATCCACGCAGGTGTGAGGGCAGCAAAACTTCACGTAGCTGTAATGTTACAAAACTTGTCTCCTAGGCCCTACATAGTGCTTAAAGAATAAAGCAATGAGTTCAAGAGCTTTCTGTCACCATGGTACCAGATCAGACTTCCTTTCAGCTGGGATTTTGGCTGACCAAAAATAAAGAGATAAATGTATGTCACCTGATGGCTGCTTAGTGGCCCAAGTGACATGAGTTGGTGGGTCCCAGCCCCGCAGTGACAATCCAAAGCAGCACTCATGTCCTTCAGTGCTGATCTGCCTACAACAGGCACAATGCAAAATGAAAACAACACCCTGCAGGGTTCCAAATTGGCAGCATAGACCCCACTGCCCTGAGCATGATCTCCACTGGGACCACAGCTGAGATGTCACCTCCCACACCGCAGCCATTCTATGACTAAATGCAGCCTCTGGGCCCTAGTCACCATCAGTAGCAGTGCTGTTATGGAGATAACCCATGATGGAACAAATCTGGGGTGCTTGCAGCATCATGGCTTGCATTAGAATAAAACCACATGATCTGTGTTAGGTTACAGGTGAGCCCCTACCATTGCTTTCAGTGCTACCTACTTTTTAATACACAAACTCACAGAGATGCTTTTTAAATGGACTTGGGGTTTCATTTGCAGACCTATTCTGCCTTACACAGAAATGCTATTTACCAACAGACAACTTAGTTTGAAGTAAAACTCTTGCCTGGCATGGAAAGGGTCAGGATTCAAATCTCAGGAACACATGAGGTCAGTATGAAAACTGATGGCTCTGTCTGACCCCAGAACATCTGCCAAGGGGGTCACACACTGAGTGACAGCTCCAATGGGTTAATTCTCCTTTACTCACTCTATTGCCTAGACCAAGTGACCAGTGAACTCCACATCTGTGGTCTTTATTCTCAGAAGGAAAAAAAAAAAAACAAAAACGCAAATCTCCATGGGGCACTAAATAGAGCAGCCAAAAATTGCTGAGCACTTTTTGAAATCTTTCTATGAAGCAAATAAAGACCATTTAGCCCAGATTCCCTTG